TGCCAATGTAATTTCTGTGTCCTTCTGAACAATTCATCTATTCATTTGGCTTAAAAGCCAGCTAATCTTTTTGAATTTCTGCAAAAAAGGACTACAGTAAGAGATAATCCCACTCCTTCGATAAAAGTGATATCTGTTTGGACTGGATTCTGAACCGTAGTTTGCCCTGAGCTTAATTCCGTTAGCCAACAGCGGGTGCATTGCAATTCTTTCTTGTGATATCTATCCCTATATGTCAGAAACATTCGTTTCTCGATATAGTGAATGCGTATTTCCCAATCCAGGATATCTCGAACTGCCCGTTCTAAAATTTTTCGAATGTCCCAGTATCAGCAGTTCTTGTCGCTCGTGTCCACACTTGTTTTGTTAATACTTAGCACTTAGATTATAAATAAGAATATATGCCTATGCAAACCCAGATATAAACAACATCAGGCTACATCTTACCTTAAAAAGCAGCTATTGTTTTCCCAACAGACATCTAGGCAATAGTTTTAGATTAAAATTACAAATGCTGGTCCATCTCAATTACAGCCACGTTTGCCACTGCCATCATAACGCGCGATAAAAGTTTCCACAGGAACGACACAACCAGTGGAAGATTGGAGCCGAAAATTGGAGCATGTCTACACTAAGAGGGAAAGAGCAGAAGGTAGTTGATGAAGCCGAAAGGTACCAACTCGACATATTTGGACTCTCGTCAACGCAGCGTCAAGACTCAGGCATTCTGAACTTTTGCAGGCAGAAGCTTTTCTACACAGGTGTTGACATCACGACACGCACTCATGGCGGTGTTGATATTCTGGTAAAATTCAACCTGGCTAATACATTCATTGAATAGAAGCCTGCCACCAGAAGTATGACAATCATGCTACTGAAGCTGCAATAGGCAAAAGCGATAATCTTGTTACAGTTCCATGCGTTCAATTTGGAGGGGGAATAAGAATCCTTCTTTGAGGAAGCGGAGTGTGTTCTGTATGAAGTGCCGACTAAGGAGTCCATTCTAACAAACGATTTTAATGCGCATAGCAGAGCAGTCACTGAAAAGTGAACGGCGTGATCGGAAAGAATAGTCGTAGCGACCTGAAGGATAACGGCATGAAGTTTTCGCGGCTTTGTGCAAATAACGGACTGCCTATTAAGAACAACTTCTTCGAGCATCGAAACCTGCATCACTATGCTTGGTACATGTTGAATATCCCCAATTCGAAATTCCGAAATCAGAAATATTCCGAAAACCGTAAAAATTGTGTTACCTCGCTTCTCAGTCCTAAGTTTTTTGAAATATATTAGGATAATATGAAAAACGGACGTAATACCCTTCCCGTATCTTTTTCTCTCAACCTTCCATCAGCAGTAGCATCTTCTGATATCTGGCCAATCAATTAAGAGCCTCACTGCCCATAACAAAGGCTGTATGGTCAAACGTTATCAGAAATTCTCTACGTTCCAGCACACATTTGGCTACCACTCATTTCGTTTGCAGGGTCAAAATGGAGAGCACTTCAAACAAACCCCATTTTCGTGCTTGCATTTTATCATGG